TTTCATGTTTGGTAGATTTTTTTAAAACAATTTGTCCATTTCATCTAAATTGTCAAATTTATTTCTCTAGAGTTTATGTAGTATTTTCCTAGTATCCTCTGATATCTACAGGTTCTGTAGTGCTTTTCTCCTTTTAAACAGATATTTTTAAATGTATGGGTTAATTGAAAAATGTATTAAATTTTGAATACATTAAAAATATCTCAGCGGGAGAGGCAGATCGGGCAGCTTAGGCAGCAAACCGCTGTGCAGTCCTGGCGTTTGCCTGAGGACCTCGAAACTACCTTTCCCCTGCCGGGCAGCATGGGCACCATGAACGACATGGCAGGACTGAATTCGGGGAAGGTAGCTGCCCTGCTTCAGAAACTGAATTCCGATCCTCAGTTCGTACTCGCCCAGCATGCCGGCACCACCCATGACCTGCTGGACATCTGTCTGAAGAGGGCCATGGTCCAGGGTGTTCAGCACATGTTGCAACAGGCTGTGCATCTGGAAGGCAAGCCCATCACCAACCAGAAGAGCTCAGGGCGATGCTGGATCTTTCCTTGTCTAAATGTTATGAGACTTCCATTCATGAGAAAATTAAATATTGAAGAATTTGAATTTAGTCAATCTTACCTCTTTTTCTGGGACAAGGTTGAATGCTGTTATTTCTTCTTAAATGCTTTTGTGGACACAGCGCAGAAAAAGGAGCCTGAGGATGGTAAGCTGGTGCAGTATTTGCTTACGAATCCTGCAAATAATGGAGGATAATGGGATATGCTTGTCAATATTGTTGAAAAATATGGTGTTATTGCTAAGTGCTTCCCTGAATCTTATACAACAGAGGCAACCAGAAAGATGAATGATATTCTGAATCACAAGATGAGAGAATTCTGTATACGACTGCGGAACCTAGTGTACAACAGCACAACCAAAGGAGAAATCTCAGCCACACAGGATACCACTATGGAGGAGATGTGCAGAGTGGTGTGCATCTATTTGGGTAATCCACCAGAGATGTTCACCTGGGAGTATCAAGACAAAGATAAAAACTATCAAAAGATTGGCCCCATAACACCCTTGAAGTTTTACAGGGAACATGTCAAGCCGCTCTTCAATATGGAAGATAAGATTTGTTTAGTGAATGACCCTCGGCCCCAGCACAAGTACCATAAACTTTACACAGTGGACTACTTAAGCAATATGGCTGGAGGGAGAAAAACTCTATATAACAACCAGCCCACTGACTTATTGCAGAAGATGGTTGCTGCCTCCATCAAAGATGGAGAGGCTGTATGGTTTGGCTGTGATGTTGGAAAACACTTCAATAGCAAGTTGGGCCTCAGTGACATGAATGTCTATGACCTTGAGTTAGTGTTTGGTGTCTCCATGAAGAACATGAATAAAGCTGAGAGGCTGACTTTTGGTGAGTCACTTATGACCCATGCCATGACATTCACTGCTGTCTCAGAAAAGGATGATTAGGAGGGTGCTTTTGTGAAACGGAGAGTGGAAAATTCGTGGGGTGAAGACCATGGCCACAAAGGTTACCTGTGCGTGACAGATGAGTGGTTCTCTGAATATGTCTACGAAGTGGTGTTGGACAGGAAGCATGTCCCTGAAGAGGTGCTAGCTGTACTAGAGCAGGAACCCATTGTCCTGCCAGTCTGGGACCCCATGGAGGCTTTGGCCAAATGATATTGCCTCCAGCTTTTCCTCCTCCCGTGGGACCTGAAGGAGTTGCAAAGGACAGATCCAGGGACTGAAGCCAGAGTTACACAGGTGATTGTGTGTTCCCACGGGACACAGTCAGACTCTTGGCTTTCTCCTCCAGGAACCTCTTTGGGAAAGTGTGCTTTATGCTGAAACAAAATACTCTCTAAAGAAAAAGAAGGGAAAGATCAGCTCATACTATCGACTCTCCTCATCTCCAACATCTCAGGATCTCTTAGCATTTTAATCAGATGTAATTGTTTGTCTTAAGTCTGTCACACCAGTTTGGTTCAGTGTCTGTTTTAGTAAGGCAGGAGAGGATGAGCAATTGAGGTGTGTGGAGAGAAAACGGACTTAGTGTTCCTTGTTCCGAGACTAGAGTAGGGGGAGGGTGCCCTAATATTTGAGCTCTCAAAACTGCCTGACAGTAACACTGTCCCTCCTAGGTGGCAGTCACTGAATTCAGTTTTTTCAAGGTAATTTTATGTGCCTCTAATAGGCCAGGAATGTGAGGTTGATCAAAACTGACATGATTCCTTCCTATTGTTCTGAACTGCGGGAGAACACAGTTCTACTTGAGTCACGGGTTAAGTAGAGGGTTGGAGAAAGTAGGTGAGAGAACAACCCAAACCTTATCATGATCTGAATTATAATCATTAGCAGGAGCTCTTGCCAAATGGTTTAACTTCTGCCTCTGGGATTGGGAGTTGGGTGGGCACGAAAAGGGGATATCTGTTCTTTCTGACAACTAAATGGTGCTGAGAAGCTCTTGAATAAAACACTTTGCTAAAACAAACAAAGAAACAAAGCCTCAATGCTAATATGTCCAAAGTAGAACTTTTGACTTGCTCAACTGTCATAGTCTACCCACAGTTGTTTTATTTTATTAATTCATTAGAGCTATCTAATTGTTCAAGCCTCAAACTAAGTCAATCCTTAATTTTTCGCTTTCCCTCATTTTCCAACCCTACTAATTCTGTTTCAAAATATATCCAGAAATCAACCACTTCTCATTTCCACTCCAAGCCATGCCACCATCATCCTCCCCTAGACTCTACTGCGATGCCCCTTGTAGGGGGCATCTCCTCTACAGTTCATCCTTTACATAGCAGAGAGATCGTATAATTTTCCTACTCCCTGGAGTGACTTTCCAGCTCACATGGACTAAATCCAAATTCCTTACCCTGGCTATAAGACCCTGCATACTAGTAAGCCCTGGTTTGTAGGCCCTGGCCTCCCCTATGAAATCATCTCCTGTAAGGCTCTCCTGACTCAGTGTGCTTCAGCAGTCACACCCTTCCTTCTGTTCCTTGAGGATGCCAAGCTCTTCTCCAGCTTGTAGTGCTGGCACAAGCTTTTCACTCTACTTGATGTGCTCTTTCGCCTGAACATCTTATGGTTGATGGCTGTCTCCTTCTTGTAATCTGTATTCCAGAAAAAGAAATGTTTTCATTGACCATTCAATCTACTCACTTTCTATTCTGTTAATCTGTTTTTTAATAGTCTCCATAGCATCTATTTATATATGGTATTTTTTATTTATTCTTTGTTAATTGGTTGTTTTCTAATCTAAGGTGTAAGCTCTGTGTATGCAGAGGCTTTGCCTTTTTTCATTACTGCTGTATTGCCAGCACCTAGAACCATGTATTGAACAAAACAAGTGCTCAATACATAATTTCTGCATAAATGAATGAAAGTGCTCTGCTTAATGCCATCTATAGCATATCTTATTTCATTCTCCAACAAATGAACAGTGTCGTGTTACCCATTTTATAGATAAGAAAGTGGGGCTTTAAAATAATCTGTCCCAGCTATGGAACTACAATAGTGTATTTCTTCTGCCAATTTCAAGCTTTGGGATGCCATCACTCATGGCAAATGCATGGGAGAAAGAACTTTAAGAAGTGTATTGCTAACCTTTGTTTATAAACCTGTTTTTATCTCAGATACTTCCAACTGAAGTCCTAAAAATTCTCAGAAAGCATGCTTCATTATCTCCTTCAGATGATGATCTCACTGAGTCTGGTGGAAATATGGGAGAGTTACAGAAAAGAGTGAGTTACTACTAGATCTTGTTAAGTCTATGGTTCCAGGAGTACTTCTTTGTTTATTGTAAAAGAACATCATTTCATGTATAGTATTGTTGGGAAATATTAGCTCCAAGTAGAATTATTACAACTGTCAGAAAAAAAAATGGCCTGTCTAGGTATTTAAAATATGGAGGAGGCACATCCACGTACATTAAGTGTCAAGGAGGTATCATACCTTAAGTATCAAGGAGATATCAAGGAGATATACACACACACACACACAAAATAAGCAAAAACAAATAAATTACCAAACACCCTGGAAATATAGAGTGTTGACACATCTTAGAAACTGCCCAAGGCAGTCAGGAATGAAAAACAACAACAAAAAAACCCCCAAAAACTGCACATTCAAGGAAGTTTTCTAGCTTTCATAGCAACTGCCTACCTCTGTAACATTATCTTTAATAGAATAGTTCTTTGTGAAAATTGTGAGCTCTCGCAATTGTTCTCACTATTAAGTCAACTGGTAAGGAGCTAGCAAGTTGCAGTTTACCTTTTAGAAATATGAGGAAACTGAGGCAGTCGTTCTCTTAGGATAATGCAGTAAATTAGTTTTGGAGGTCTGTTGCCTGGAAGCAAGTATAAGGGCTTAAGAGTTGTGGTTTCCAGGCTACTATATTTTAAAGGAGACAATGATTTTTTTTTTTTTTTCCCCTGATTTTCAAATCCCTGAGCCTGGACAGTGCAGAAAACACAGCCAGATTTAGGTAACAGCTTATTTCCCACCTCTGTGCCTATGAAGTGGAATATATTTATCTGTGACAAAAGAGCTTTGCCTCTATTTGGTGGTAAATCTTCAAATCTGTTTAGAACCAGGGTCAGCTTCTCAAATGAGCCTTTTCACCATTTAGGCTTTCTGAATCTGATTAACACTGTATCAGGGAATTGTCTGGTGTCTGACCTTGAACAGCATGCTTTCCTACTTGCCTTTTTGGCGGGGGGAATCATTTTGTACAGCCTTGGACAATGAGATTCCTCCCCAGCAGGCTTGATGGCATTTGTGGGCTCCTTTTACTGATATCCAAAGGGTTTCAGCCCCAGTGACCTGTCATCTGTCCCCTCACCTGCTTACATGCTGATTCATTGATGAGCTGGCATTGCAGGCCCCGCCTCCCTCTGAATGGTCTGTGAGGTTGTGATTGCTCCTGGAGAGGGGATGTGGAGCTGAGCCACCGTGGGTTACTACACGTGGGAACCGGCAGCCTATCTGTTGCCACAGAAGAACTTGGTGACCTGAGAAGCAGCCCTTTCTCACCACCCTGTTACTGTTCTATCTATATCCGGCTTCTCTAGCTTTTTAAAGGAATTTCTGATTCAGGCACTAGCAGCTAATTCCACAGGAGTTGTAAGGCAGCCTGTGACATAAACTGAGACAGAAGTTTCCCCTCAGAGACTGTCTTTTTTTTATTGGCAAAGACTTCTGGCTCTTCTCAGAGGAATACCTTGTTGCTTAAGATGAGTGGCTGTAGAAAACGATGTAAACGTGAAATATTGAAATTTGCCCAGTACCTTCTCAGGCTATTAACAGGTTCTCTTCATACAGGTAATGACTTTTTTTTTTTTTTTTTAATGGAGGCTGGTAGAGCATGGTACCGAAGTTGAAATGGAATAGGAAAGGCTCACTATTTCTATGTTGTGTTTATTTTTAATGCTGTCAATAAAATACAGTTGTGTTTGCTAAGATTCACGTTTCTAAAAATGTGTGCAATGCAGCTCTAATTTGGGGATAGAACTGGATTCTGTGGATATATCTTTTGTGTCTTTTTGGCAGTGTCGCTGTTAAATGTGTCTCAATCTAAGGAAGCAGTGTCTGCAGGGTAGAAAGATTTTTTTTTTTAAATGCGTGATTGTGTGAGGGTTTCTCCTTTTCTCCTGCTTGCTGCAATTTGCTGGAAAATCACAAAGCTCTTCTTTCTGCAGGTATTTAGAAATTCTCTACCTTTGATCATTATAATCCATAGATTATTTCTAGTATTTGATTATAGAACTTAGCAGTGAAAGAGTTAAGGACATTTCTTTTGGATTTCTGAATTCCTTGCAAAATGTGAGCAAATTGTGAAAACAGCTGAAGAGTATAATGTCCATGAGAGCTTTGATATTTGTTTCATTGCAGTGGATTTTAATGTTTAACAGTTTGTACAATTGAAATAGAAACTCTATTTAAATCTAAGCGTTGATAGAAAAATTTTTTAAGGTGTTCCAAAATTATGAGCGTAAACCAGCAATTTTGCTGCCTGTGAAATTCCTAGGCAATGCCGTAATTAAGGTAGTGACAGGTGGGACCAAAACTACTTTGACTCTGAGAATAGATATTTTTAATGGACCCTCAAACTTCTGAGGAGCAAAGCTGGGTTGATAAAATACCACACTTTGGTTCTGGCTATGAAGAACTATTGTTAGCTTTATTTTTTCAACTTACACGTGTCTTCTTTTATCTAAATCGTGAGAAAGAAGAGTTAGTAAAAAAAAAAAAAAAAACACCTAGACACTATACTGCAAGGATGAGGGATGAATTTGAGCAACATTTTATCTAGGAAGTAAAGTCTTTATGGTGAACAGCAGACCTGCATATATGATTATGTTGACAACCTGATCAGGAAAAACAGTTTTGAGGGGATAACTGTGAAAATCAAATGATTTTCTGAGAGCATGATTAAGTATTCATAAACATAATAACAGGATTGTTATCAGATGCTACTCTTTAAGCAGTGCAAATTGTGGTGGCTTTTGACACTTTTCAGAAGAGTTATTGAGAGTCTGTACCTGCCTTTCGTTAACCTGGAGCTCTGTTGTATTTTTCACCCAGTCTTTACACTTCTATACTTAGTCCCAATATGAGTTTGCTGTATGATGTCAATTGTGATCAATAATATCAATATATTAGCTATAAACATTCAATTAAGGATGATGTGCCATTTATGATGTCATGTCTTATTGGACAATGCTCAATAGGGGATCTTTTATCTAGCTATGAAATTAGAGAAATATTTTATAAAAGAAAGTTTTCCATGAGGTTTCCATGGTAGTCTGTATTTTCCTCTTGGATAAGGCAGTTTTAAGGTTCTACCTGTTTCTTGCTGGATTTGGGTGCAGTGTTCTGCCGTTTCTTGCTCAGTTTGTGTATAGTTTTCTGAAACTTCTGATTTCAAAATTTTATGAAGATGGTAAATGGTTGTGAAGTCATAAACCATAAGCATTGAATCCAAAATGTAGTGGTTGGCTAATGACTGCACGGTAATTTATAATATGAAATTTATGGAAAGCTAGTATAGCAGAAATATTTTAAGCCTTATTTAATGCGTATTTAGAAATCAATATAGGTGGGATTCATTCTCTTCTTTCTGAGCCACAGGAGAAAAATATAAGAACTTTGAGAAATAGGACAGATTATTATAAAATAGTAAGCTAGATTTATGACCTGGGAAATGTGATTACAGCAACTTGTTTCTCGTAAAAATTCTTTTCAGCTCACTCTCTAATACTAAATGTTGTAAAATCCAGCCAGAATCTTTGCAACTGCTCAGAATGCAACTTGGAAAAGCCAATTTATGCGTTTACTAGATGCTGTGATAATATACACTGTTCACATTGGAGAATCTAATGTAAAATTCATTAGAGCACTTTCAAGTCCCTTAGCTAGTAATTAATGAAAAAGTAGGAAGCAGAGTTGAATTAGTTTAAAAAATTTGCTTTAAGGTTGGATATGCAAGCAGTTGCTAGTTGTATCCTGAACAATCAGCATATGTCTTTGTAGTTATCAAAAATTTAAAACAATATGAATGTGCCTTGGATGATTTTTTTTCTTCATTTTACCAGCAAGCCCTTAATCTTCACTTTTTCAGTTAAAGATGTGATCTAAGGAAATAGTGATTTTGTTTTACATTTGGAAACAGGTTATTTCTGAAATACATAATCTGTGTTGTTGGCAGTTGCCTTTCATTTGATACCAAAATGCCCATGCCTTTATACAAACAGAAAATTTGAAGTGCAAAGAAATTTTCATGAAGACAAACTCCCCTTTGATGTGCCTTATTGCTATGACAAGTTAGAGAAAAGCAGTTTCCTTTTCTGGGAGCTTTTCATACAAGTTTTGGCAATGCCTAGGATTGCTTATAAATAAATAATTTAAAATTAGTGATTTTTTCTAAAATAATCTTTATGTTAGAGAGTGCAAATTCAGTAATAAAAATTTGTCCAGGTAAAATAAGATGCTTTCATTTTACCAGAAACTTTTTCCATATTTTTATCATGGCAAATCATTTTGCAAAGAGTGGATTTTACAAACACATGTGTTGGCCTTACTTGTTATGAAATATAAGTATTTTTAAAGATTCTTTTATATATAATAAATCTCAGAAATCCATATGCAAATATTAAAAGTTAGTGGCCACCATGTTCAGTGTAGTGCGGTGCAATACAAGATCAGTTATCGTAATTCCTTTTCAATTTGACACCTATATCTTCTTGTACCATATTATATTCTAATCTAGATGGGGCTCATGGTAACCAATATATTTTTGTACATCTAAAGAAATGGAGTTGATTTTGAGGATTTTAGTCTGACACTAGTAGTATGAGACTTATTCTATTGATGGGCAATTTGTGTACTATAGGAGCCCAAGGAACACTCTGTCATATAAATGCTGACCCATTGAAAAGGGTAAATAATATTGCAGATATTGAATTTTAAACTGTCTCTTCTTTATGTGTGAAGTTTAGTATTGGAATGCTTAATGGTTCTTTTTGGAAGGTTGTTTGGACATTTATCAATTCTCTGCACATAGTTTTCTTGAAAAATCAAGACCTGAACACATTTTCCTATTAGCAGGTATTCCCGAAACATATGTGTGAAGTGGCTATTGCCTGGAGCTCTGTTTCAGGCTTCAAGACAATGAGCTACAGGTGTGGTGAAGTTCAACTCTCCACCTGAGGGAAACAGAGGCAATTCAAACCAAAACATTCTTTTAAGCTTTGAATTGCTGTTTAAGTAGTGGGTTACAGTACTTCAGATTTAATAAAATTATATTATTAAAAGCATGACATAAGCATTTCTCATTTCATCAAGTAGAGAACTTTAGATGAGAGAGAGAGAGAGAGAGAGAGCATCTGTTTTACAAATTTGCATTGAATTGCTTCCAGCCTTATCATTGTTAAAGGGACTGTGGATCAAGCCATTCACAAGGCTAGTGATTTAAAGATTTAGATTTTTTTTCTGTTGCATTTTTAAAGTACGAAGAGAAAATAAAGGTTGATGCTTAGCAAAATAAGAGACTTAAGAAAAACTGTGTCTAGCTACGCACACTTCCTTCTTTCGCCTCCTGATTACACATCACAGAATCATGTTTTCAATCCCCTCTGTCCTCCTCTTCTGTCCCTCATCCCTGCCACATTTGAACACAGGGCCGACGCATCTCATGCAAAAGATGTGTCCCTGAAGACCTCACATAATTAACGATTCATAAAACTCAGGTTTCATCCTGGCAAAAGGTGATAGGAGTTTTTATTTCTCAGTTCACATGGCCCTGGCATGTGGCAGTTGAATAAAACAGCTTATATTTGCTTGGCCTGCCTGCTCTGAAGCTATGCTATACTTGATTACATTTATGTTTTTTAATTCATTCAAACTTTGCTGATAAAGGGAGATCGTATTTCTTATAGCACTATGTAAAATTTGCATTATTGAAATGCGCATAAAATGCCACAAGTTATGCTCAATTTGCTTCTTCTATTGAAACCTGCCCTCAAATAGAAGAAAGCAAAGGATGTTTTTCTTGACTGCCAAGGAATATATGTAATTAGGTTGCTTTTCCCAGCAAGAGTTTACATTTTAAACTTTATCAGAAGAATTATTTTGGCCTCTATTAATAAATTTAACTTTTCATTCAGGAGTGAAGGGATATTTTGAGGAGTGCAGCTTCTTGCCTTATCTCAAATTCTGCCATGGCTACCAAATCTGGTTAGAGGATACCTAGGTTCAATGGGTAAAACACCCATATATGCAGAATACTGGTTGCCCCTTTCATTTCAGAAGAAAATCTGCATATTAATGTTTATTAACTTTGTATTTTAAGTTTTTTACCACATAATTAGTGTATTAGGTAAAACTTATATGGCTTAAAGACTCTTCCAAAGAGCAGATTGTTTTGGTCATTGTGAGAACTTCAAAGTAGTAAGTGATCTGATTTCACAGTCTTAGTCATGTTAAACTCTTAAAACTCATTTCTTGACTAACTGACAAAATTAATCATGTGCTCTCAAGGGAAGAGCTAATATTCATAGAAGGGGCTGTATTTGCCGCTATTGGTTAAAGTAATCAGACTTTCTTAGCAGAAACTTTAACAGTTACACATCAGTGCTTCATTTGAATATGCAAAGAAATATTGAAGTTTCACCGTACAGGCTCTTGAGGATATTATACGTTGATTTTGATATGTATCAGTTATTTCCTGGCAGGAAAGAAAGAGATCTCAGGAAAATAATTTACTAAAGGGGCCATGTATGTGGGCAGGGGTAAGGAAGTCAACAAGGGGTAAGGGGTACTCG